TGTCTGTACTATTATAGTCTAACACTTGACGGGGTCGATTCCCGTGGTCACAGTCTAACTTACCCAAAAAAGGAGTAAATCCTCAATCTTGGCCGTTTGATGTTGTCGCCACACGCGAAGGATCACGCGTCTGTGTCGGACAAAGACGAACGCTGGACGCTTCGGAAGGTCGGGGTCTTGCACAGCCTGGCGTTGGCTCTGGCGCGAAGCGGAGAGCACGCGATGGCCGAGAACAAGCTGCTGGAAGCCATCCGAGAGCTGCAACAGCTTGACGGGGTCGACTCTATAGCTGAAGCGTGTGTGCACAAGGCGAGCGGGAGTTTCTCTTCATAGACATGGATTTCAACTGTCCCTACCACCCCGGTAGAGGTCGGGCGGACCTCGCTCGTTATAATTTGTCGATACGTGTACTTGTCAACGGCAGTTGTTTCCTGGGCAGCTGTGAATATATTCGCATGCCCCGCCGCTCACGCCCCTCGACAGGACTAGTGGTGAGTCACCTGGAGCTTATCTTCACGAAATCGCATCTGATCCCCTTGTAGAACTTGCCGTTAAGCACATCGATATCCCGACCAGGAAGCCTGACACGTCGTTTTGCGCACGACATTTTGAAGCCCCCAGAGTGTCGCTTCTTCGTCAATCGTCATTTTTTGTTTTCTCGCGTATGTACGGCATACCTCGTTCCCTGCCTATCCCGAACCTGGGACAGTTAACCTGACCCCACGTGATTGACGCCACAGGGAACCCTCACTGATCTCTACAAGTACCTGGCGATCGTACGGCGCGCTCGAGGAGACTTTGCCGGAGCCAAAGCGGCGTTAGCCAAGGTGGAGACGTTGGGAGGGTGCGAAGGCAGCGAAGAGTTGGAAGGCCTAAACCGGCTCTTGGCAGAAAGTGCGGTCTCGGTGGGGTGAGCTGGAGTGGCAAACACGGGCATCCAGTTCGTGCCCCGAACATTCGAAACTTCGCGCAGCCGCGTGCAGTCAAGTGGGTGTACTTGGACGAGTGCCTGCTGTGAGGTGGATACAGGGTAGGCACGCGGGGACACGCAGGGACTTTCAGAAGGACATATGTGATGTTGCTGCGGGTGACATACACGTATGGATTCACTCGTATGTCTTCTCCACAGCAGTGGTGAGACAGCAGGGTGGGGGGCTGTGTGCATCACACAGCAGTGTGAAGCTGTGTGTATCGCGGGGCGGTCGACGTTAGGTATCCCTGACGGCGGTTTGCTTGGGACAGCAGAGCATAAACATGTCTTGCTGTCGTGCACGTCGACGAGTTTTCACGGTGGATGTGTCACCGTTGCCTGCAGTGTAAAAGGGCGCAATGCCCGCCTGCTGCACAGAAAAAGGAGGCTATATATGTGCATCATGCAACAACGTGTACCGCGCATTCCGGGTTGACTTTACCTCCGACGCTGATATGATATTGTTGTGATTGTGCACATCGCACGGTAGATTATTTGACAAGCTTTGTCCTGTTTGGATGTTTGTGAACACAGAGTGCTCACAGTACTGTGCGACGTGGTGCGACCGTCTAGGACTATTTCGCGGGCAGTGAGCTACTGCTACCCGGGTGCGATCCAGGCAGAAGAGTTCCCTGACAAACCTGGCGAAACCGTGCCGCACTACTCCCGGTTTTGAATTCACACGCTGGATGACACATACTACATGGTGGCAACTTTCATTTGATGAACAACGCCTTTCAGCATCGTCACAGACAGGGTACCTTCGAAACAAACAACGCAAGCTCTCATGAGCGTATGGAAAATAACACGGGCTGAGGGTGCCTCCATGTCTTCGAAGAGTAAATCAAGCAATATTTCACTTTCACTTCCTCCGTCGACGCTACATATGTATTCGAATGTGGCACAGGTCGCCTTATCGTGGAGCTCTAGCACGAAATTACGGCGGTGCGAAGGAGCATGGGCAAGGCGTGTAGAGTTGAAACGTTGAACCAACGACACAAGAGCGGCCATCTCGTTGTTCGTAGTATGCAACACGGTCGAATGGCATCGGGCGGGGGGCCCAAATTCACGTATTTTAGGTACTGAACTGAAAAAACTCAAGATTCCCATGATTCCCATGGCGCACCATGGGACACCATGACGCACCAACAGTTCCCATGGTGCTCTGTGAAACACCATGAGAAAATGGTCATGGTCCCCACGAAAACTCCCATGGGAAGCGTGAAAGTGCTTGCATTTTATTGGTTCCCATCAGATTGGCCATGAGTTCTACTGCTACCGTGCTGTACATCTCATGGCGCGCCAACAAAAATGGAGATGAAATTTTCCACGACGTGAAACAAATACTGTCACATCCTTTCTGTACGTCAGGCTCCGTCCAAAGTCACGCACACGCTCGTGAATCTCTTGAGCAACATGCGGTCGCGCGCGCAGGTGGTGCCACGGCTCGCGGAGCGCGATTCTTGACACGGGATGCAGGGCGCGGCATACGACAGAAGAAAAATAAATACCCCCCCCCACATTCATTTGTCTGTGTCTCCCCTCGCCCTGAATCTTCCTCCTGTCTTCCTCTGTCGCACAAATTCTGTGCCCCCCCCACCACACAGCAAAGAGTGGCTACAGACCACCCTTCCTCGTCTTCCTCCTCCTTCTCTTGCCATAAAAGGTGAGAGAATTTGTGTTGGCACCCGTGCGAGAGATAAAAGGTGTAGACATTGGTACACAGTAGACGTAACGTCCGTTGACAAAATAGTCACACTTGACCTTTGTACCCGTTCGAGTTCCAGCGGTAATTCTCACCGGGGGATGTTTTGAAGTCTTTCGAGCGTCGATAAAAAGATGTCCGAGACAAGGTTGTAGTCCTTGGAAGACGAAGGGCAGTAACCACAGCCTCGATGACCGCGTTATGCTCTCGTGGTTGTGCGGTATGGTGTAGCTCCGCGCAGGTCATTTCGGCCTCGGTTTGAAACGGTACTCTTGTAACCTCGCATGAACGGGTCCATTTGCTTCTCGAGAGAGGTGGGGACACACACGAGACAGACAGGCGCGTGGACGTTGACGTTCGTTTTGCTTGTGACCTCTCGCGTGTGCAGAAACCAGTGCGAGGATGCGAACAAACTCACACTCGCATCTCAGATATTGCACAGATACTCACAAGACGGCCAGGTCGTCATGAATTACTCCGCAACAACATACGACCTCCACAGTCAGTCCAAACGTCGAACGACGCTTTTTTGGTACAGTGTATCCCTTCCTAGAGGACACCGTTGGGAGATAACTGTTTCACCGCGGTTGATGGACGCGCAGCAAGCGCGCACCGGAGGCGTTTCTAGAACGCACGAGCTCGAGGTGGTAGTGTTCAGCCCATCAACCATGAGCATGAGTTGTCCTGTAAGTTGCACCGAGAAAGGAACGCGTGTTCCCAATGATGGGTTGTCGCATCTGAATGTTCCCAGTGTGGTGGGTATCACAGCTGAACAAGGCCACGATATTACGTCGATATACCTGCCCTTCGACCCCCGACATTCGACACGATGTGTCGACCTAACGGATCGGGTGGTACCGCGAATATTGACAAGATAACGATATCGACACAATGCATACGTACGTGTTGATGATTATGCAAGCAGACGTAAATGGGTCTTGCCAGATAAAATGTATGTGGCACGCATAAACGCGACATATTTCTGGCGATTT